TGCTGCTGCCCATGAGCAGCAGCAGCGGATTCCCCGTGAATCGCAGCATTACCAGCAGCAACAGCAGCAGCAGCAGCAGCAGACACGGCAGCAGAAACAGCAACAGCAGATAATGAACAGTACCACGCAGCGTGAATGCTGCTGCTCATGCACAACTTGCTGCTGCTGTTGCTGCTGCTGAGAAGCTCGCTGCAGCAGCAACAGCAGCAGCAAGAGCGAAGACGATTACCAATAGAAGCAGCAACACTGCAGCAGCAACGGCAGCAGCAACCTAAACCCTAAACCCTAAACTGCAGCAGCAGCAGCAGCACCACCACCAGTAGCACCATCACCACCACCACCATGACCACCACCACCACCAGCACCATCACCAGCACCATCACCAGCACCACCACCACCACCACCACCCGCACCAGCAGCAGCAGCAGCAGCAGCAGGAGCAGCAGCAGCAGCAGCAGCATCCTTGCCTGTAGCGTTTCAAAGGCAAGTTCAGCGAAAGTTTCTCTGATGGTGTTGTTTGTTATATTTGGTTCGGTTATTAAGAGGCCCCGCTCCAGCCCGCAAGAACCCAAACAACGGGGCCCAGTCACCTCCTCTGCTAGACGCTCTAAACCCTGCAGCAGCAGCAGCAGCAGCAGCAGGAGTACGGGCAGGTGCAGCAGCAGCAGGAGGGGCAGGTGCAGCAGGAGGAGAGGAGGAAGAGCAGCAGCAGCAGCAGTAGGAGCAGGTGCAGCAGCAGCAGGAGGGGCAGGTGCAGCAGCAGCCGCAGTGGGAGCAGGTGCAGCAGCAGCAGCAGCAGCAGCAGCAGCAGTAGTAGTAGTAGTAGAGACAGTAGGAGCAGGTGCAGGAGGAGGAGAAACAGAGGAAGAGGTAGTAGCAGCAACAGCAGCAGCAACAGCAGCAGCAACAGCAGCAGCAACAGCAGCAGAAATGGCAGGAACAAGAACAGCAGCAAAACAAACACCAGCAGCAACACGTACAGCACCACCAACAGCAGCAGCAACGATAACAGCAACAGCAGCAACAACAACAAGAACAGCAGCAGCAACAGCAGCAACAGCAGCAGCAACAGCAACAAATACAACAGCAGCAACAGCAGCACCAGCAGCAACAACAGCCGCAGTAAT